GCGGCGAGCTCGGATGATGCTGCGGCTGAATATGTGGAGATGGAAGGATCAAAGACAGAGTCTTGGCATCCCCCACCGGTAGAGATTCCAGCAGTGAAATTTAATCACTGGAACACCGCTGCGAAGTAGAGCAGCTTTGAGGGTTAGACAAAACCTTAATGTTTTGGAAACCAGTTGGTTCCATTACACCAGGGAAGGTGACAGTAGACAGGCAGGTAGGCTCAACGAACTAATGGAAGAGCTGTACCAGTTCATGGACCATGATGAATGGCCTGGTGTGATGGGACGATAGCTGTAGTGGAGCACGAAGCGGTGCTCACCGCGCTCCAAGGGAGAGTGCGAAACTAGAGCAACCAGACTCAACACGAGCAGTCATGTGGTGTGCATGTGTGTCAAATAAGAAATGTACCGCAGACCGCCTTGAGAGCTCAAAGATCCGCAGAAATGCAATGTTAACAATTTAGAAATGAATTCCCAAAGGCTTGGAGATGAACATCCCACGAGATCACTTTTGATTTCTCCGCGTCCGTTTCGGTTCACTCGTCCACATACCACGGAAACTTTCCAAAGACTCGCAGTCAAGAAGGGCAGCGCACCAGTCACACCAGCAAAGATGGTAGAACTTTCAGCAACATGTGACCAATTCCCAAATAATCTGCAGGTATTTCAGAACTAAAGAGCTCCACAAAAGACAAACTAGTTTGCATAGTCAGCTGGTGCAGTTATTTGGCACTAGGGGAAACTCTTCAGAAGAACATGGTGAGGCAATTGTGTGAAATGTGAAAAGAAGACTGCGAGTGCCTGCCTCAGCCAGGGCTCCCTTGTTGATGAAATTGCAACAGAGCCCCGAGAGATGGTAGCGCCATTTCGTCCAGTGGAAAGAGATCTCCCATAGTCCGGGACGTGTGGAACAAACTGTTCACTGCAGGTCCCATGCAAGCATCGTTTTCTGACAAATAGAACCCTGAAATACCATAGGTTCAGCTTGTTCAAACATCCAAAAGGCAAAACATGTAGAAAAGGTAGGATTGTCATGAAAGCATGCTTCATGCACCTTCATGTTGTGGTATTCGAAGATATATGCAGTGTATCCGCCGTATGCTGCTGCGAGTGGAAGTTGTTGGGTTTGTGTCATTCCATGAATCGAGGTGTGCAATTGTTGGAATTGTGGTGCCTGCCGGGAAGCATTGCAGCCACTAGTTGTCGCGATAAGTATAAGGCAAAGCAAGCAGCAACATCAGTTTCAGTTTCATAAAAGTGCTATAACCTCGTTCTCGGTCAACGTTTAAGAACTTGAGGCCCTGATAATCCTTCTGGGCCACATTCAGTCACCCAATCAGGCTTCTGTCGCGGGCCAGCTTGTTTGACAATTTTTTTTACTTTTACAGTACACACCATCCCAGGATCAACCTTGTCCATGAAACGGACGCAATTAGAAAGACACCCCACACACTTGCAGAATGAAAGAGAAAAATAATGAAACAAGTGCGTCAATCTTCATGGAATCTTCATTCCGGTGAACTGAAAGCAACATCCGGCTTTTGTGAGGCATCCATGCACTCCATCAAACCCAACCATCCAGTGTACTCAACGATTAGAGGATCCATGCGTCACAAAGCAGCGGAGTGACAGGTACCATTGCGTTTTGGCAAAGGAGAAGATGAAACAGGTGGGATGCACGTCCAGAGCTCTTGTCAGAGCGACAATGAGTAGTAGAAGGGATTCAAGGACTTGGGGCGGCACCCACAGGTGTGAGTCAAGTTCCACAGGAGGGGTAATTAGACTGGGTAGACTCTCTTTATTGAGCCGAGCTGTCCTGTGAGCAGGATTCAATCTTGGAATGACATGAGATCCCGGAGGCCATTGCTTCTAGGTTGGAGGTCATTGCTATGAGGTTGGACACCATCGCTATTAGGTTGGACCGCACTGTGAAGGCCCTCCATCATTCCATTCCCCTCCACCATTCGTTTTGTCACCCCGACGGAAAAGTCATTATGCTCTTTTTTAGCTTGAAGGAAGCAGGTCATTTGGAACTCACAGCATATCCCGGCCTCGTCTATAGTCCCTCCATGACAGGATTACCCCATCTATATAGTTCCGTTCAAAAATCACTCAAAATGCATGGCCAGTGGGATCTAATGTCGCGTTTGAACCCCCATGAAATTGTAGATCTACCAACTGCGCCTACATGCACCTGGAAATTCGTGCACATATGTCACCCACACCTAATCTCTGACACGATGCTTGCAATCAATTCAAAATTCAAAGCATACAATACCGGCCTTCTCTAACAAACCAGTCGAAATGGCCACCCGGTTCCTGTAGTGAGATGATTGGCTGGTTTACATGGTAGCATTTAAAAGAAACCATGAAAGATGTATATACTGTATACTGCTCCATTCCGGAACTCAATCTTAGTGTTCGCTTTGAGACGCTGACATATTTTCCAATTTCATCCGTTCCTGAGGCAGCTGATGAGTGCAGTTGCGCTTGTTGTGAGCGTGCCTCGGCAAGCATAATTCCGTACAGATGTGGGCACTTCATTTGATACCACAACCTCAGCGGCCAGGAACGAAACAATGTTGATCTGAGGACAACTTACAAAAAGGCAGTTCTCTTGCAACGATCAGATTATCACGAAAGCTAGCGAAGCTAGCTGGAGTTACTCTTGCGATAGCAAGGTTTCTTTCGACCGGGTGCAAATCCTAACCCCTGATTTTTCAGGTCGAAGACCCCCCCCC